GAGATTCCAATTTCACCTGGTACAGCTTAGCTCTTTTTATTTAAACAATAAAATCTGTTTCAAGCCATTAATCATGAGTAGGTGCCTCTAATGAGACCATGAAACCCAACATCACTGCTTCATTTGCAAAGCAGTGATGACTTTAAATTAGGGCTTTGCCTCGGTGACCCGTTATCTGCAGTTTCACATTTCTACTACTGTGTGCAACGCAGCACTAGCAAGCTTGATGCTTTCTACCCCAAAGTTCACCGCATTTCAGAAGTGAAGTCACATTATCCCAAAGCCATTTTAAAGTATTTCTGGAGCCCTCACAACACGTTGTATCAATGTAAGAGATTAAGAGAATTTATTGTAGTAGTACCTAGCACTGACAGTACTTGGCATTTTAAAAATATCAAATGCACGCATGCCAACAGGCTTTTAACTCTTAACACCACTGCCAGCAGTGCTAAAAAACAACAAAGCATTTGGTATCTGCCAGTGGTTTTGCTGCTAGTTATGGAAGCCAGAACAAGTTGAATAAACCGTGCCATCCATGGCTCAGAACTGGAATACTTTAGGGCATCTAAAACCAACTGCATCCTTTTGTGACCTTCTGTGCAAGTCACTGATGGAGCCTCCCTAAGCTGCACTTCGGGGTAGTCCCTCGAAACTCCACCAGGTAACAAAAGGCCACGTGGGCTGGAGGGGTAGCGAGGAGCATTCAACATTTGAGGTATGATCTCAAGGAAAGGGAAACGACTTTGTGAGATTGCCTGATCAAAGCGGATTGCAGCTACCTGAGTTACAAAGGTATTGCAATGTGGAGCAACCCAAGTATTACACTCATTTGTCACAATTTCAACAGTGATACAGTTGTTCTGTTTTTCCATCACAATCCGTTCTGGCTCCCAGCATTTTTCATCTCCAGTTACCAGATTAATACACACAGTACAAGTGTTCACAGACAACAGTTTTTCACACAGAACTTTATGCCACCTCCAAACCAGAGGTACCTAGCATCCCCACTGTGGCTGGGAAGAAAGAGGGGCTTCTATCAGAAAAAGCACATAGATGTTCCTTACTAGCAAGCATCACCACTCCTACACGTCTACCATCTCAATTTTAAGACCCTTAGGGAGGAAATCATAGGGAGAACAAGTGCCAAAGAGAAAATGAGACCTTAGTGAACAATTTTGCTAACTGGCACCAGACTTGCTTGGCACACAAGGCACCACAAGACATTAAGATTTCACCAAAAGTACTGGGTTCCTCTCACTACAGCCTCTCTAGAATAATTGTGCTACATCACCATCAGGCAGAGAGCTCCCTTCTTAAAAACAGCTGCTCTTTCACATCCAGAAAAGGCAGATGTGAGACCCCATCCAGATCATTCGTGCCCTGTGTTTTCAGTCTTTCTGTTTGTCTGTGTTTGACCTTCCAGAGCAACTCTTCTGCTGCTGTTTTCTCACTGCCTTGACCCTGTTCTCTGCAACTGCTTCTGCTAGAAAACATGTTGGGAGCTTCTCAGATCAGATATGGCACAGAGAAAGTCTACTGCTTCCAATGTATTAAGTACAAGGCAGTCCAGTCATCTGGAGAGTACAGATAAGCCTATGAATTAATTTCACAGAAGGCTATTTTGCCCTTTGACTTGAGAAGGGACCGAAGCATCTTTGAAGTCATGGGATAATCACTTGCATGGAAGAGCTAAAACTACGTTGGCAGTTAACAGCCAACCCTATCTTTTTGACTGCGTAACATCTTTCAATTCCTTAAAGGACACACAGGCAGGAACCAAACATGTTGAGAGGGAGAATACTACAAACACACAAATTAACACAAGTCAGGTTTCACAAGTTAGCAAGTGAGGGAAGATGCCAATAACTGGCTAAGACATTTCCCATTTCATGGTGAGGAACTACAGCAAGGTCAAAATAGCTAACGACTAGGAAGGATTATAAATTTGCTTTGGCAAGTAGACTCTTTGTAGAATGGCACCGGCAAGGATCACATGATGTTGACAGACTGAGGTGGCTCGTTGTCAAATCCCTGGCATTTGCTTGCCCCTCAGAATCTCCCACTCTTTGCTCAAGAGAATATGGAAAGTAAAAGGTCTCTTCCCAGTATTTCTGATCTGGACACTGTATAAACCCCACAAGAGTCAGCAAAGCAGTACCATGAAGTCTTGCAAATATACCTGCCTAGAGCACAGATCTGTATATTCAAACTATGGTTCCTGGAGATCTTTAGGGCTGAAGATGAGCAGTGGTATTAACAGTCTATCCTTAAAAGAATCCCATGTCCATCATTTTCAAGTGCCTACAAATCCCCTCAGCATGTAATAATGTTAACATTAATGCCTATAAATAAAAAGAGACAAAGCACTGAAATGACAAACTGAGAATGGTAATAAATGGACATTAGTGATTAACAAGGTAATAAAGCCTTCAATAGGATTAGGAAAAGAAAAAGATACAGCAAAATCTCTTTCAGCTGATTACTTAGCTATTTTTTTAAAATTTAGAAAAATTCATCTAACACATGAACAGGGTGCCAGAACAGTCAGAGGACAGCATAGTAAGTTTGACACAGGCTCAAGTAAGAGTCTGCAACCTGATAAGGTTCAAGTGAATTGGAAGCAACCCAGAGCAGCTAGAAATTCCCCTTCAGACAGAGCTATGTCAAAGCTGCGCCTGCCTAATTAATAGGAGATTCACAGATACCACAGAGAAGTATTAGCAGCCACATGAGATTCTGGCCAAAGGCTAGTATCTGGGAAGGAAATCTTCATTAAAAGAGAAGTTTAATCCTCAAAATTGTAAAAACAAATGTTGCGAGTAAAGAAATACCAGTCTCCTGAAACTACTGAATTAACTCAAATGAGAGAACGACCAGTCCCAAATGTAGTATCTGTGTGTGGATACACAAGTTAAATGTCAGCATTAAATATTTCAGTGTGGTACACTTAAGAAAACAGGGCTATAAAGGAGGGTGGATTTTGTGTAGAAAATATTTATGGAGAGAAGGGGAATTAAGTGAACACACATGTAAAAACAAAGGGTACAGCTGGAAGGAAAAAAATAAGAGAGACTGCAGCAGCCAAAAGGCAAGCTTGACCCCTCACCTCATGCTGAACAACTGACACAGAATGAAAACCACAAATTCTGTTACCCCACAAAAGCCAGACCCTGGCCTTGATCTGGGCCATCTACCATTACCTCTCAGGCACTTACGAGGTGGGACGGCTACTGATGGAGGGGAAACCACAGTCCAAAGACAGACCTGATCTCACTGGCTAACTGAAAGCGGAGGCAAGAAGCCTCCATCCCTCTCCACCTTGTGCAATAAATTGCAGAGCACTGACTAAACACCCACACTGAGACCACATAGTCCCTCACCACAGTGACATCTCCGTTATTTCTCTGCAGTTCACCAGGGCCTATTATTGCTTTGCTTTGTTTGATGTTCTCCTTATGTTGAGAGAAAGCATGAAGGAAAAAAAGAAAAAAGAGAAATCTAACTGTCTCTCAGCTTCCTAATCATCTTCCTCAAAATGTTCCATGCATCAGCACTGATTTCATTATCTGCCTGCTGCTGGAGATTTTATTTAAAGAATAACACACAAGGAAGAAAGGGTTTAACCTGACCTCTCTGAACTGCTGGGCGATGAATACTACACAGAGCTGACAGTGAAAAGCTCATTTCCTTTCTCCGACTAACCCAAAGTCTATGCAAAATTCCCCTTTATCCAAGCCCCCAGTTTTAAATTGGGCTATCAAAGGCTTTTCTTTTTTAGGGGCCTGGGTTGATGCAATCAGTGTATCATCAATGAATGAGGATTGATAACATGAACCTGCACCCACAGCTATGCTTTGTGAAGTGACTCTCAGAGGCAGAACAATATAGAAAAAATGAGTAAATTAAAACCAGTGTTCTTCTACCCAGCTATATCAGGAAGAGAATAAAAAGCAGTAGGGTCCACATTTTTTTCCCCATTGCACCAGTACAAGCATTCAACCTGAGACTTTGGGGTGTTACATATCACCAATCAAGTAGGATAATAAATGAAAATGTTAGTGGAAAGCATGGAAGGGTATCATCAAATAACAAGTAAAAATATAATGGACAGAAAAAGAAATTAACTGCAGAGCAAGATAGTCAGGACCTTCTAACAGGCACAAGCATAGGATCCCATCCAGTGGAAGGAGCAATCCAAGGTGACTCAAATAAGGTCTGTCCTAGATTGCATATGCAATTTCTTCTCCAGAGGTTGACACAGCTGCATCTGGGATGGTGTCGCCATCTCGCATGGCAGCTCTGTATTTTGTTGACCACTGGCTCCTGCAGAGTCATTTATCTCTCCAAGAATGATTAACATATAATGCCGATATTTTATTTTGGGAAATAGGCCATCTCTTCCCTTCCCAAGACCATACACAGTAGCCTATTTTCAAAAAGCCACATTTATACATTTTTGCAATACAAGCAGGACACCAAGAGAGCAAACCAGGCCAAACTAAGGAAGGGAAACCTAACCCTATCAACCTCCTTATTAAAAACCTTCTCTTTTCAAGTTCTAAAACAACTGAATTCAATTATCCTAAAAAAATTTCTACCAACTGTTGCCTAAGTTCTAATTCCCCGATATCACAGAAAAATCAAGCTACGCCCAACAGTTCCACAATAATTAAATTTGCTGCCAAAAACTTCCTGCCCCATTCTAAACGCCAGCATCCTCACAGTCTCCAACCACACTTGCTGACAATGCTGCATGCTTTCATCGTTCATACCCACCTTTCTGTATTTGCTGGACTAAGATGCCTGCATGTGATGGTAAAATTGGCTAAAGCAAGCCTTGTTTTTCTTCCTCTCGCCCACATCTGAACAAGGAACACGAGAGTCCCGCCTTCACCCCTCGTACTGCTGCCACATCATCAGTCCCAGTGAGTACAAGGTACTCCTAAACACCAATATTCCAGAGGTCAACATGAAAAAAGGTCATCGCACACCTGGCTTACCTGATCCTCGGAGAGCTGTGATATGTGATTCACCGCAGCATAAGACTCTATCTTCGGGTTGAAGTGATTGATGATGGCTCTGAAACAAAGGAGGGAAATTTTCAGAGGGACAGCTTAGGGATGCAGCAGAAATTCTCTACCAGCCTGAGTCAGCGCACATGGAGCCACAGTCCTGCAAGGAGTAGTTCCTCCCTCACCACGCTGTATCGCTTGCTCCGCTGAAGGCACGCTCCCTGCTGAGAGGTCAATGCAGATTCAGGCACAGCCTCACTGGAAATTGCAAGCACAGGCACTGCCCTATGTGTGGGTGCATTTGTCCCAGCAGATAACAGGGTTGTGCTCGATGCTCTGGCAGAGGCAATTGCTGCCTTGCCGGGAACAGGCTGTAAATTGCTCAGTGTTCCAGCAGAGAACATGGCAAACCTGGCCATCGCTGCCCCATCCTGCTCAGGAGCTGCATCTCCTCATCCCTTCCAAAATTGGTATCGTCCAACATTTTGCTCTATGGAGCTTTGTTGCCTGATGTGTTGAAGGTGATGGTTTATTGCTTTGGATCTCCACTCTGTTTAAAACATTGTAGCTGGCTCTTACTTGTAATCATCCATCACTGCAGCCACTACTTTGTCTTCTTTCCATAATGACCTTAGTCCTCAGCCCCAATTTAGATCATTAGAGATAACCTAGGTCAATGTCCCAAACACAGCAGCAGAAAAACTGATCACTCCTACTTCTCTGCCTCATTTCTGTCACCGCCTGCACTGACATACTCCCCCCCTTCCCTTCTAGGTGGATCTAGAGGCAGGTGTGAGAAATCTAAAATTGAAAGTAAAATAATAATTGGGGGGGGTGGGGGTGTGGAAATCAAACTGCAGCTGGAGTATTTCCTCAGCCTTTCCTCTGCTTGGCAGGTGCAGCTGAGAAGACAAAGAGCAAGACAGGAAAGTCTCCCCGGGCTACAGTTTGCAACTGGTCTAGTCGGGATACTACTCATGAGACCCACTGCTGAGGTAATCGCTCATGATGGGAACAGCCCACGTCAGTGCTCGGCACAGATGTGCGCTGACTGTGCCTGGAGAACACTTGCTTGGCCAAATTACACCGCAGCAGCAGTCAGGGCTTTCACTCTCATATTCATCAGCATGAAAATTCACTCCAGCTCCCTCTGTTGCACTCTAATGGGTTTCCTCCTCCCCACACTTTTCCCTGCAGAAGGGCTTTCAGCTGCTTTCTCTAGACCTCATCACAGCTAAGAGCTGGTGCCTGAGTCCAGGAATAAGTGATATTCAGTAGTGCCAATCAGAGCTACTGGAAAGAAAACCCGCCTGGAAGCATCCTTACTTCTTTAAATACATAGATAAAAAAAAACACGGTAGAAGGGATGGGGAGTGGGAGAAGAGTAAAAAAACCCCAAAAACGTAACAGAATCTGCAGATTCACTGCAACATTCCCAGGCACACACCTCATCAACACACCAGATGCAGTCCATGCGCAGGGGCAATCACTTCAGCAGCTGCTCCTACAGCATCAGCACGTCCTTAGCACAGGGGGGCTTCTGCAGTCTCCCCAGCCTTGACAGTTACATCAGTAAAACGAATTCAGCAGGGTCGCTGCCAGGCTTCCCATATCCCTCCTCCCTCCAGAGGGGGGGAGCAGGTAGGTAGAGACATGCCCAGATTCTTCCCATTTCAATCCCACCAGAGAAGCAGCTCCTGTGAGTCACAATCACACTCTCCATTACCCAGCCTCTCGAACATTGTGGCTTTCAAGTTGCATGTTTCATGCCTGGCTGGAGTCTTATTTACACTCCTACAGGACACACTACAAGCTATTGAAAGAAAAGGGAACACAGACTTACAACAACTTAACTTCTGGCTTGACAGAAGGTTTGGCAGCTCAGAGGAGTTCAGTGCACTCACATGGTTCCAACATTTACCAGGGAACAGATTTAGCATTCATTTGTATCCACTGCTGTGAAGCACTTCAACATGGGCCGCCTGCTCACAAATCCCTGCTCGGATCTGAGCTAGTGGAGCGGCACCTGCAATCACAGCTGGGATTCACCCAGGGAAAGCAAAACCAGCAACCAGCTGCCACTGCAGTAAGAATCAACAGACATTAAGGAAGAGAAAGAATTCAAGTCTCCTTCCTCATTTCCCTAAAGGCAAATGGAGGACTCTTCAGCAACTAGAGGCAGAAGTTCATCTGTTTAATTTAAGAGAGCTCTTTCACAAAGAAGAATTCCTTCCCAACCTGATTTTCTGCAGAGCTGTTTTCCTGAACCTGCAGGCAGCCTGGGGCAGAGGAGCATGAAGAGCTTGGATTCAATCCTGGCTCTGTAGCCAGGTTCTTACTGCCCAGCATACACTACCAAAGCCAGGCTCTGCACATGGTAGAGCTCCTCCTCACACATCTGCTACAAGAAATTCCACCACTACCCAGCTCAAGCTGCTGTGCAATAGCAGCGCCTTTCTGCATCAACTACTCTGATATGCCTCCACTATTCTTCCAGCTCTCAAAATCCATCTTGTCCTTGGGGCATAGTTTTAGGCAACCGGTCTCCTGGGCTACTGAGTAACAGCTGGAATTTCACTTTGCCAAGCTGCCATTCCACAGGCATTTCATAGACAACAGGGAGCTTTTAAGCACAGTCTCCCCCTTATGGACAATAGAACAGCGGCTTTGCCATCATTAGTTCACACACCAGCATGTAACAGCTCAGCCTTGGCAATGTTTTATTTTTATACTGTGATTGCCTCGATTATTGAGATACCAGCCAGTAACCTTTGGGGAAGGGAGCAGCTAAAGCACTTGGAAAAGATTTGTGATGTGCTGTGCTCTACTGAGATCTTCATATCGATCATGGAAAAAAAAAAAACAACAAAAAAAGAAAAAAGAAAAACCTTGTGTTTGGCATTCATGAAGCACTAGCATGTTCAATGCATTTGTAAAGCAAGGAAATGGTAAAGTGTCAGCTGAAAGACAAAACACTGCAGTTCCCCAACTCGCCTTTGATAGCCTGTACCTTTACATATTTCCACACCGCAGTGTCCCTCAGTGGGGCTGGCTGCCATTTGGCATACAAATTTCAAAGGGCTTTTGGGACACAATGCTCTAGGGACAGAGGTGTCTGGAGAGATGTCACTTTAGCAACACTGCCTCCTCAGATCCACAGTTCAGCAGACAACTGGCAAGAGGAGGCTGTCACTGAATCAGGGAAGGATGCTGAACAGGCAGAAGGTGAAACAATGGTTCAGGAATTAAAAAACTGGCTCCCAGTGGCTTGTCTTGAGGTTAATGCCTAGTGCTGTAAGGCAGATCACAAGCGATCTCCGCATTCTTTATTCCTCAATCTACCAGTGACAGTCATTTACACACTAGCCATGCCAGTGCCCTCAGAAAAACACACATCTCCCACCACTTCTTCATGCAGCTCTTCAGAGAGCAAGCTACCTAGACACCATGATGCCAGAAGCCACCTAGAGACACATATGAATGAACCTGTATATTCCTTAGGATGAACAACCCAGGACACTTGTATTTATGTATTTATGCATTTATTGCATATTTATTGCATTTATTTATTTCTTTGGGAAGAAAGGATGATTGCAGGAAAAATATAAAGTGTTCCACTCTGATTTAGGAACCTAAGTGCTAATGAATCATTTATTTATACTAGCTGTATTAATCATGTTATTAGACAGTAAAAGCAGGTCCCACTCTAACAGGTATTGGACAAATACAGAGTGATGGAAAGCCCCTGTCCCAGAGAGCTAACAATCTCAAATGCAAGAGAACAGGGAACGCTCAGAAAAGTGCAGTGGCAACAGAAAATACAACAGTGCTGTTACTTACTGAGTGTCATGAAAGACCTCAGTTAGAGATAAACCAAGGATAGAAAAAAATGCAGAAAAAGAATACTGAAGGGAGAAGTACAGAGATGGGAAAAAGGAGACAGAAGGGCAGATAGGATCAAAAGAAAATCACAGGTGAAAAGACTGCAGGACAGAGATGATCAGAGCAACAGCAACTGATCCCAGGGCAGTCTGTCCTCTGCAAAACAGAAAGCTCTGGCTGGTGGAAAGTTTCTGCTTTGGCTGCTCTTGAGGCTGCAACAATTGGCCAGTCCTGAAGCGACTGTTACTAGCCCTTTCCCCCTCAAAAACACATGGGCTGGAAGGTGAGAATCAGAGGAATCTCCATGTGGGCCCTGTTAGGTTTTTTTCCCCAAAATGGGGACATCCCACAGTGGCTCTCACCTTGACATATGGTGAGAGAAGGTATACCTCCAGGTGAGATGCATTCCTCACTGGTTTCACTGCAACATAGCTTGCTTCTGCAGTGGCTCCAGTAGCTCTCCAGTCACTAACATTTAAAAAATTGTTTCTGTGAAGTCTTTAAAAATTGCCTAGAGTTACTCCTTGATAAACAGAAACAATCAGTACTGCCCTTCAGAGAAGCTCAGAGTAAAAGAACTTCTGAAGATGCAGAGTCTGCTGACAGGAAAGAGCTCCTGTGAAAACTGATATGGCATGCATGGAAAGAAAAGATTTAATTGATTCCTTGGTTTAATTTTCCACTAGTTGTAGCATCACATGTGAGAAGTGAAACACACCAGCAACACTAAGCTACCAGTCCCTTAATTCCTAGCATCTGTGCGTCCACATGCACCCACCACGGCAAGGAATACCACCCTGCCCACCTTAACCTCACAACAAACTGGTCTAGGTCCAATGTGCAGGGAAAGCAAAATCACTATGCTCACGCAGGCAGCACTTCTTCAGCACGTTTTCTCTGACCTCCAAACTCTCCCCATCAAGTTATTGCAGATGAGCTGTCTAATACCCACTCCTGCTTGACAGCAGCTACATTTCCAGAGTCCCGTAAGACAACACTGTCCTCTTGTCTTGAGCAGTGAAATTAAGTACTGTGGAGGTGCTGAAAGTAGGCTAAGGGAAGAACAGAAAGGTTGCAAAGCTTATTATAGAGATGGGAATGCTGAGCCATCATTCACTGCACAAGCTTACTCTTTGCACCTACTTTGCAGGTCCAGTATGCAGTGCCTAGCATAAAACTTCCTTTGTATACTCAAACATTTCTTGTACAATAAAAGCAG